GTGAGAGTGAGAGTGAGTTTGGAGAGATAGTGGGGTGAGAGTGAGAAGTGAGTGTGAGTGGGAGTGATAGTGAGGGTGAGAGGGAGTGAGTGAGAGTGAGGGTGAGTGGGGGTGAGTGAGTGAGAATGAGAGTGAGAGTGAGTGTGAGTGGGAGTAATCTTGAGGGTGAGAGGAAGTGAGTGAGAGTGAGGGTGAGTGGGGGTGAGTGAGTGAGAGTGAGTGAGTTGGAGCGATAGTGAGGGTGAGAGTGAGAGTGAGTGGGGGTGAGTGAGTGAGAGTGAGAGCAAATGAGAGAAATAAAATCAAATAAACATAATAATGATAGTAATGATAACAATAGTAATGATGACGATGATGATGAAAACAATAATAACCACAAACAATGATATAACAACAATGATAATGAAAAATGATAACAATAATAAATAACAATAATATAAATGCTAATGATAATCACATCCCTTACATACCTAATGTTTAACAAATACGATTGTGTTAGTGTGAGATTTCGCTTCTGCAATTAGCAACATTCGCAACACTTGTACTTCACACTTTTCTCGTCTTCCATAATTGCATAACTACTGGCTTTAATTAACGATGCAATTTGCACTGCAATTAACGCGTTTAATTTAACGATATTCATACGAGTGTAAAGGAGAATGAGGAGAGAGGAGAGGGAGAGAGGTGTGGGGTGAGAAGGAAGAGAGAGAGAGGGAGGAAGGTTGAGAGAATGAGAGAGAGGGAAGGTGAGAGAATGAGAGAGAGGGAAGTTGAGAGAATGAGAGAGGGTGGTGAGAGAATGAGAGAGAGGGAAGGTGAGAGAATGAGAGAGAGGGAAGGTGAGAGAATGAGAGAGAGGGAAGGTGAGGAAGAGAGAGAGGGAAGTGAGAGATGAGAGAGAGGGAAAGGTGAGAGAATGAGAGAGAGGCGAAGGTGAGAGAATGAGAGAGAGGGAAAGGTGGAGAGAATGAGAGAGAATGAGAGAGAGGGAGGGAGAGAGAGAGAATGAGAGAGAGGGAGGGAGGGAGGGAGGGAGGGAGGGAGGGAGGAGGGAGGGAGGGACGGAGGAGGGAGGGAGGAAGGGAGGGAGGAAGGGAGGGAGAGAGAGAGAGAGAGAGAGGAGAGAGAGATGGATGGAGAGAATGAGAGAAGGCAGGGAGAGAGAGACGGCAGGGAGGAGAGGCAGGGAGAGGGAGGCAGGGAGGAGGGAGGCAGGGAGAGAGGGAGGCAGGGAGAGAGGAGGCAGGAGAGAGGGAGGCAGGGAGAGAGGGAGGCATGGGAGAGAAGGGAGGCAGGGAGCAGGGAGGCAGGAGACAGGGAGCGGGAGAGAGGGAGGCAGGGAGAGAGGGAGCAGGGAGAGAGGAGGCGGAGAGGAGGGAGGCAGGGAGAGAGGGAGGCAGAGAGAGGGCAGGCAGGGAGAGAGGGAGGGCAGGGGAGAGGGAGGCAGGGAGAGAGGAGCAGGGAGTGTGAGAGTGGAGGGCAGGAGAGAGGGAGCAGGGAGAGAGGAGGCAGGGAGAGAGGAGGCAGGGAGAGAGGGAGGCAGGAGAGAGGGAGCAGGGAAGGGGGGGCAGGGAGAGAGGGAGGCAGGAGAGAGGAGGCAGGGAAGAGGGAGGCAGAGAGCGAGGCAGGGAGACGAGGGAGGCAGGAGAGAGAGGGAGGCAGGGCAGAGAGGGAGCAGGGAGAGAGGGAGGCAGGGAGAGAGGGAGGCAGGAGAGAGGAGCAGGGAGAGAGGGAGGCAGGGAAGAGAGGGAGGCAGAGAGAGGGATGGAGGGAGAAGAGGGAGGCAGGGAGAGGAGGGAGGCCAGGGAGAGAGAGGAGGCAGGGAGACAGGGGCAGGGTAGAAGGGAGGCAGGGAGACAGGGAGGCAGGGGATAGGGAGACAGGGAGGCAGGGACGGAAGGGAGGCAGGGAGAGAGGGAGGGCAGGGAGACAGGGGAGGCAGGGAGAGGGGAGGAGGGAGGCAGGGAGAGGGAGAGGGGAGGCACAGGGAGAGAGGAGGCAGGGAGAGAGGAGGGAGAGAGGGGGCAGGGAGAGGCGAGGCAGGGGAGGAGGGAGGCAGGAGAGAGGGAGGCAGGAGAGAGGAGGGAGGAGAAGAGGGAGAGAGGGAGAGGGAGAGAGGGAGGCAGGGAGAGAGGGCAGGGCCAGGAGAAAGAGAGAGAGAGAGAGAGAATGAGAGAGAGAGATGAGAGAATGAGAGAGAGAATGATGAGAGAGAATGGGAGAGAGAGATGGGAAGAGAGAAATGGGAGAGGAGAGAGAGAGAGAGATGAGAGAGTGAGAGAGAGAGAGAGAGAGAGAGAGAGAGAGAGAGAGAGAGAGAGAAGAGAACGAGAAGGAGAAGAGAGAAGAGAGAGGAGAGAGAGAGAGAGAGAAGAGAAAGAGAAAGAGAGAGAAGAAAGAGGGAGTGCGGTGAGAGGGAGAGGAGAAGGGAGAGAGTGAGAGAATGAGAGAGAGGGGGAGGGAGAGGTGAGAGGGAGAAGAGAGAGGGGGGAAGGAAAGA